AAGCATTTGTCAAGGTCTGATTATTTTAATGTATATTCAATATGGTTTCAGCGAATCACAGTTTTTATTTATGCATGTCCGTTGCTGGTTTTTTCTTACATTAATTTATTTACCATTTAAAACAATTATAAAAGATGTATTTAATTAATTAATCTGATTGAACTTACATTATATTTTTTAAACAACTGCTAACAATATATATGTTGTAGTTTTGGTTTGACTTGCTTGTACGTGCCTACCCCACCCCACCTTCACCCTATGTATCATTGCTTCCTGCATCATGTTGCTCACTGAATTACAGTAAATACAAACATTAAAAACAGAGTTCATAAAAACTATGATGATGATTGCAATTTTTCAAATCATAGTTACTTGGGAATTAATTTTAAATTTCTGTTACGAACGTACAAAAATAATTATCGATAAAGAAATTATGAGGAAAAAAAAAAGGTTCAATAAATTAATTATCAAGCCACAGATCTGAAAGGTAGATAACTTATCTTACATATACTTACAGGATTCACTTTGTGATAAATATATAATTGATAAGCGTTTTATAAACACCTGCAGGATAAAAGAATATTCTAAGTATAAATAACTAGGTTTGAAAGTTACCAAGGTGATAAAAATAACACATCAAACCTTACCTAAACATGATGACCTATTATTTGATCTTTCCATGATTGCTCTTTTACTTGGGTTGTTCAAAAGGGACCGCTTAGCTAGTGATATGTCAGCAGTCACCCTGGTGATGATTATTCTAAACCAATAACAACAATAACCAAAAACTTTTAAAACAGTTTGAAAATGAAAACCTGTATAACTAGTATTAGTTTTTCACATGATATAAGAGATGTTGAAAAAGAAACCTTAAATTCCAGAATAAAATAGTTTATTACACACTTTTTAAAAAACATAAGCGGAAAAAGTTAGTAATAAACTGTTTTATTCTGGAGTTTATATTATTTTTTCAACTCAGTTAGGAAAACTTCTCATTATTAACTGTTTATAAACGTAGCTGATAAACAGTAAGTTTTACCTTTCTTTTTTCGGTCAATTGATTGCTTCACAAAATGTAAATAAAATGTTTATTATAAAATCTCTTTTCCGAAGGTGTAGGTTGAACACTATTATGTGTATCTGTTCATTCATAATATTTTCTTCAGAGAACTATTTTCGAACTAATATATCATCAAACGTTTATGCTTTCTAAAAACTGATGTATTTGTATAAATAAAAAATAATGTCTGAAATGTAGTTGGTGCAGTAAAAAAGACAAATAACTTGAAAAAAATAACACTAATTGAGAACAAGTGTGAACATAGCTGCCTTTAAGTTTTACTTCTCGTGGTGAAGATATGTAACATATATGTGTACGGGTGATTTACACAGTCTTCCAGTTCAGTACATACCTTAAAAACAGTACGACACGGGATTATGAAATTGCTCATGAAATTAACAAGTGTGCAGAGAAGTGGAATACTGAAATATTATTACACCGAATGATGCAATACCGTGAAAAGTCTCGGGGAATACCGTAAAATGCATGACATTTGCAGAGTTACTTGTTCCAGTGTTGCTGTGCACAAGTTTATAAGAAAACTTGAGAAGACGTGTTAAAATTGTGATAAGCAGAACAAGCAAGCAAAAGTGTATGTTAGATCACCTGCTGTCTGGATTTGTCAATTTCAATTGTAAGGCTCTTCTGCCAACTTTGCGAATGTTTTCTTACACACTGCTTCTTGTTCAAGCACTGAAGGAGATAGATTTAACCGATTGTGTTGATTTTGCACAGCAGTTCTCGACAAAACTTGAAGCCAGTGACCAATGGTTTGCTAATATGCTATGGACTAATGAAGCACACTTCAAACCTGCACAGTCAATGCTACCTGCAGTACTCACAACCAGTGCGATTCCCATACACACTACAGTTTCCACGCAGGATGGTTCTCCTTTACATATTGGTAATCAAGTGAAACACAACTTGTAAGAGTATTTTTAGGACAGAATACTTTCCTTGTGAATGCCCACCAGATCTAGCACTAATGGATTTCCTAAAGTCACATTTGTACTGTGGGAAACCCGCCACAACTTCAGACCTCGAGGATGCAACCGTCCACGAAGTGGCAAGCATACTAGAGAAGATGTGCATTTTTACTACAACATCCATCGTCACATGGATGTAATGCATTTTGAATAGAGAAAGAGCACATTCTGAGCAGTTGCTGGGATTGATCAGACATGATATCATTAACATCCTGGTGGAATTTCACCTTTCTGCCATACCATTTGAGAGATATAATATGCTGAACTGCAAAACTTTCTTTGTAATCATCCTGTATATACAAGTCTTTTCAAATAATGTTATGGCTTGAGAATGCCATTTTTCTTCCAAACATTATATCCTTCTTATATTGTACAAGATATACAGTAAGAAGTAACAAGGTTAGGAAAAAAATGTTGTCAGGTTTTATAGAGCTGCAATTCTTTACAGTAGGTGTCTGTGACTTGTTGGTGATAAATTTCAACAATAAACAAACAGC